CTACTAATTCATTTATCAGTTTATCTAACAGTTCATTGATCAGTTATCTATCAGCTCATTGATCAGCTCATCAATCAGTCCACTGATCAGTTCATCTATCAGTTCATCTACCATGGTATCTATCACTTCATTGATCAGTTATCTATCAGTTAATCAATCCATTCAATGATAGTTCATTGATTAGTTCATAAATCACTTCATTGATCAATTATCTATCAGGTAATCAATCCATTCAATGATAGTTCATTGATTAGTTCATAAATCACTTCATTGATCAGTTCATCTAAAAGTTCACTGATCAGTTCATCTAAAAGTTCACTGATCAGTTCATCTAAAAGTTCACTGATCAGTTCATCTAAAAGTTCATTGATCAGTTCATCTAAAAGTTCATTGATCAGTTCATCTAAAAGTTCATTGATCAGTTATCTATCAGCTCATCGATCACTTCACTGACCAGTTAATCTATCAGTTCTTCTAACAGTTCATCTATCAATTCATTGATCAGTTATCTCTCAGTTAATCAATCCATTCACTGATAGTTCATTGATCAATTCATCTATCACTGCATCAATCAATTCATTGATCAGGTATCTATCAGCTAATCAATCCATTCATTGATCAGTTCATTGATCATCGATCGATCCAGTCCATTGATCAGTTCATCTATGAGTTCATCTGTCACGGCACCTATAACTTCATTGATCAATTATCTATCAGTTAATCAATCCATTCATTGGATTGATTAATCAATCCTATCATTGAATCCATCCATCCGTTCATCGATCACTTCATTGATCAGTTCATCTTTCACCACATCTTTCACCACATCTATCACTTCATTGATCAGTTATCTATCAGTTAATCAATCCATTCATTGACAGTTCATTGATAGTTCATTGATCATCACTTCATTGGTCAGTTATCTATCAGGTAATCAATCCATTCATTCATAGTTCATTGATCAGCTCATTGATCAGTTTTTCCTGCTGATCACAGAGCCATGAGTGCAGCTTCTCCCTGGCACAGGTACAGAGCCCCAGGGAACTCCCCATTCCCTTTTAGGGGATTCTCCCATGACAAATCCACTCCCAGCTCTT